AAATGTTTCGAGAGCTGGATCAAGCGCTGGCATAAGTGCGTTGCAGTCGATGGGGAGTACTTTGAAGGGGACAATATCACTTTTGATGAATAAACTTGTATTTTGAATTTTCTGAATGAATTCCGGGAACTTTTTGATCAAGGTAGTATGCTTCGGTCTTAATCCTAAAATCCTAAAATTCAACAAATGGAATACAGATTTCAGTTAATTAAGACTGGCAGCCCTTTATTGGCTGAATTTTAGGATTTTAGGGTTGAGACTGAAGCATAAATCAAGCAATATACATATCTATTTATTATATAAAAATACGCATGCGTACAAGAATGTTGGGGACATACGCATACGTTCCCCTTCTATGGTAGTAACGCATGCGTCAAAAGGTTCCCATCTGAGTTCACCGATACCGACGGCGCCATTTGTTTGGACGCTCCAGAACCGTTTCGCGTCGGAGCAGCTCTTCGCTTCGGAGTAAAAGGGTTCAGGGCTATGCTTGGAGGATAGCGCAACAATAAGCTGATTCCTACAATCGGAGTTCTCGAGTATCATGTTACGAAGAGCAAGTACAGTTATTTCGCGAACCGATAGCAACGTACAGCCGCCTTGTTTTAACGGCGTTTGAACGAGTCGGATCTCATTCTGCTGAAGGAAAGGTGTTACGAATAGGCTAGAATGTCTCTAAGCGCCAGCGCGGAGAATCTGTCGTCCGAGGGACAAGTGAGTGAATCAACGCCCAATTAATGACGCTGAGCTTCCCACGCGTGACTCATGCTTATCGCTGCCACACCTGTTTCTTTATACACAATTTTGTTTCGTCAATCAATCATTTACTCCGTTTTACTATGATATAAGTTATTATATTTCGGAGTGAGCTCACAAGAAAATTTACTCTATCTCAGTTTTTATGTTCCGGAGCAAATTTTGTTACATCTTTATTAAGAACAGTCTCATTCATTCAAGTGAAATAAATATTTGAATTAATTTTTTCTTAAATCTTCACATTTTCATAGTAAAACGCATATTACTGAGTCTTTCTATGCAATAATTAATCCAATATCAAGCTCAACATTTTTCCATCTTCAACTTTTCGTTATCAAGCTTTGCTTTATCTTTTATTCTTTTATCTACTTTGTAGAATCAAAGAATAAATTTGTTTCATCTTGTCTGTATAACATTTTTTATTGTATAGTTAATATATCACAAACATTTGCATGATGTGTAATTTGCATAGTTTTAAAAGATGTATATTTTATATTAGTAACTGAATATTTATTCAATATTATTTTGCAAATTTTCCAAAATCACTCTATAACTCTAATGTATTTCACTAACAATTTGATAAACGTTCTTTATGACATGCAAAGTCTGCGACGATTAACTGAAAATATCAAACATTTTCTGTAAGAAATAATATCTCATGTAATATGATGTTTGTAACATTTATCAGAATAGCGAGAGATGGAACATGTGTCTGGAACTAGCGCTGGAGGGCGAACGCTTATGCAAAGCTGGCGATTGCAAATCCGGGGTGGCGTTCTTCCAGGCGGCAATCCAGGCTGGCACAGACGATCTGCGAATACTAAGTGCTATCTACAGCCAACTGGGTAATGCGTACTTCTATCTGGGTGACTATGTCAAAGCAATGCAGTATCACAAGCTAGACCTGACTCTCGCCAGGAATATGGGCGACAAACTGGGCGAAGCAAAATCTAGTGGAAATCTGGGAAACACACTGAAAGTTATTGGAAAGTTTGACGAAGCCATGATATGCTGCAAGAGGCATCTGGAGATATCCAGAGAGATTGGGGATAAGGTACCTATATTTTGACAAGAAAAAAATTACCGATACTGATGTACCACTTTTCTATTTCTTAAAGGATGTATTACAAATATTTTTAAAATTTGAAAAAATTATTCTATATTGCATTTAAAAGTAACAAAAAGTTTAGAAACAGCGATTTAGAAACTATGATAAAAAATTATTCCAATAAAGGTAGTATTTTTTTATTTTGATGCTCTAATAAAAATCTATGGAAATATATTATAAAATAGTAACAAAAACTTCAATTTTTTAAATTTATTAGTACTGTAAGTATTCAAAATAATTTATGTGAAATTACATTGCAAAGCAAATTAGTTTTATAAATGAACAAAATATTTATTTGTTCTAAATCTTTGCTACTAATTTGTAAATCGCAATGCAACATTACATAAATCATTTTGGATACTTAAAGAACTGATACAAAAAATTGAGATTTTTGTTACTATTCTTAGTTTATAATTGTACCAATAAAATAATAACGAAGAAAGTAGTAAATGAATTACAAGAATGAGTTGTTCAATAAAAATAGAATGTTATAAATATAACTTTTATACATATATAGTTTATTTAAAGTATAAATATTAACACACTTGTAAAAATGAATGGCAATATATATACAGTGAGTGCAAAAAGTATTGGTACAGAGAAAATATTTTTTAAAAAAACTATATTTTTAAAAAGTAAATATTATCTAGCGAGAAATGAGTCATTGAACTGATGTTGAATTGATATCGATATAATGATTTCAATTTGACGTTGATTTGACGTTTAATTGATGATCATTTCTTGTTGAGTAATTAACACTTTATTCATAAAGAATAAGATAGACTGTATGTTTCTTAAAATTATATATACCAAAAAGATGTGTATTAAATATAGAAAATATATCATCTGAAAAATAAGTGAAAATTAAAAATTGTATTGTTTGGATGCTCAAAAAGTATTCGTACAGTCGAGAAATTTAGCTCCTAAAATCAGGAATACATGCGAAGCTCATTTGTTTATGTTAAAACAGAATGTATTCATTGTATAAAATGCTAATTAATGTTTATTTTCTACAAATAAGATTTTTTATAAAAAATTTCCTTTATAAAAAATTTGTACGAATACCCTTTTGCTCTCACTGTACATCCTTAAATAAAAAACAAAACTGTAGAAACATAAATACAAATTAGAAAGCTTAATATCAGGCTGCTTCTCGCCTTTATGAAGTGAACTGCAATGTGCACGAAAACATTGGCATTTTAATAATGGATTTCGAACTTTGCAATAATTAATTAACTTTTTTATAAGACAAACAAAAGAGTGTCTGAGAAACTGAGTCTGAAAATTGACATAGTACATGTAATTGGTAGTAACACAAGTTCTTATTATTTTCCTTTCACAGCAGTTATCTATACAAAATACATACAAGTTAATGTATATCAGTGTATGATGATTTCTAGAATCCACTTCGATGTAAAATATTATCTTTGTCGATTTATATACTGCTGTTCCGCAAGATATAACGTATATATCGCGACTATATATATGGAAGATTAGGTTAGGTTATTACCTTCTTATCAATAGGTCTGTTCTTTTTGGCTAAACTTTTGCACCAGTTCATCTTTCTTCCTCTTCTTTCTTCCTGGAGAGAAAAGGAAGAAAGATGAACTAGTGCAAAAGTTTAGCCAAAAAGAACAGGCCTTATGGCTACGTTTGCACCGTGCGCGTTTAGTCCGCGACCTATATGATAGGTGTCTTTGTTTAACCTACAGGATAAACAAGGACATCTATTGTACGCGGCCTAAATACACGGTGTCAACGTAGCCTTTGTTACTGACGGTGTACTGTTTTATGCTATACTAGGGATCAGTTTCACCAACAGTTAATTTAATCGGCCGTTAACTGATCAATCGCATTTGCTGTTTAGAAGAATTGGCTAATTACGATTGATAGTTAATCAAGATTAAGCTTAATCGGTGTTGGTGAAACTGACCCTAGTACACTCCGATCTCACATTTATAAAACTGCACTACAAAAGAAATAAATAAAATAGTTTGAGAAATTATAGTCTTTTTATAAATTTATAATTTCTTTGTGTGCAGCTTAGTGAAGGAAGAGCCCTGTACAATTTAGGAAATGTGTATCATGCGAAGGGCAAGCAAGCAGGTAGAATAGGATCATCAGGATCCAGGAGAGTTCTCTGAAGATGTTCGACAGTGCTTGCAACAGGCGGTGCGCTATTATGAGTAAGATTTAATCCGTACAATTGTTTTCAATTAATTTTAAAATTTATGTTGTACATGTCTCTTAGTGTCTTTCGTTTTTCTACAGAGAAAATTTAGAGCTTATGAGGGAACTGGAGGATTCTGCTGCTCAAGGTAGAGCGTGCGGCAACTTGGGCAATACATTCTACTTATTAGGTGATTTCCAACAGGCCATTTATTATCACAATGAACGTTTAAAAATTGCCAGAGAATTTGGCGACAAACCAGCGGAAAGAAGAGCCAACAGCAATTTAGGAAATTCGCACATATTTTTAGGCGAATTTGAGAAGGCTGCACAGCATTACAAGTAAATATGGTTTTACCAAATTATAATCATGCCCCTTTGTTATTTTGTTCAAATAGCATTGATGTTTAACTTTTTGGAGACAATGAATTCATATATTCGTTTGGTCCAAAAAGCCATTTTCGTTGTACAAGTTTAACAAACATTTTTAACTTATGCTTTTGACAAGCACAAAATTGTGTCAACAATTTTAGTGGTTACATATATTTTAAGAATTACTACAACATAATGTCACTTCTTTTTACGAACATATCTCGATTATTCACATCATTATTTCTTTTACTTATTTCTCAAATAAATATTCATTTTAATTTTTGTTTTAAAAGTAAGAAAAGATTTATAATTAAATAAGATGTGTTTGATATGAAAATACAGATATTTTACAATATTAAGTGAAAATAGACCAATGAGATTAAACACACATGAGTGGTAAACGCTATATTCGGTCAAGGTTTAATAATATTTTTTCGTACCTAATAATGTTTCTTGTGAATTTATACAATTTCCAGTTCAAGCCAACTGAAAGCTGATTCGCTCTTAAAACGCAGTCTTAAATTGAAGCTGGAGTAGTGACATCACAAATTAAATTGACATTTAATTTGTGTTATTGTAATTTAATATTATTGCTGCAAATAAGTATGCAAATTAGAAAGCTGCTAATGATTTCACACTGATAAGCACAAATATCTTATACAGGATGACCCATTTTAATTTACCATTTTCAAAACCTTTTTCGTTTGTAATTTTAAAAAAAAATAATATTTTAGGTAAAAGGGTGGAACGTATTTTGGTCATGTTAATTTTGAGGGGAACGTATTTTGGTCATGTTTTTTAATTGCTACGTAAAGAGTTTAAATAAATTCGCAATTTGCAAAATTATCGAAAATTAAAAATTTTGTTCAATTTTATTTAGGAGGACCTTAGTTCTTGCACAGGAATTGGGAGATCGCGAGGTAGAAGCGCAAGCATGCTATTCTCTGGGAAACACGTATACTCTCCTGCGCGATTACTCGGCGGCCATCGAGTATCACTTGTGGCATCTGAGTATAGCTCAGCAATTAAAGGATCGTGTCGGCGAAGGACGTGCCTGTTGGTCGCTGGGCAATGCTTACGCCGCTATGGGCAATCATGAGAAAGCGCTGCACTACTCGAATCTGCATCTGCACATCTCGAAAGAGTTGGAAGATCAAATGGGCCAAGCTACTGCGCAGATGAACGTCGTTGCAAGATGACTTACAAAAAATCCTCGGTCTAGAAAAAAATCAACAAGGAGAATCTAAACACCCAAAAATTAACCACAAATGCGACATTGAATGTTCCGACAACTATGCCTTGTAGATACAGATTCAGGCGACAAAGTATGGACAATCTTGATCTTATTAAGGTTTGCACAAATTTTCTATTATTGAAACAATACTGAAGTAATGAATTAATTTAAATCTTTTAATTTTAAGTGCAATTAATAATTTATATTAAAATATCAACATTGAAATTAAATTGATAAAAAATTATATGAAAAAAATTAAAATTTTGTGAATTAAAAATGCGAAACACGTTTCATTAATAAAACTAACAATTGTTGTATTTAATCAGCTCACACCTGATGCAAAGCAGAAAGATAAATCGGAAATCGTATTGGACAAAGACGACAACGTTGCGTCGCAACCTTCTCAAAAGGAGGAAGATAACTTTTTCGATCTGCTATCCCGGTTTCAATCAGGCAGAATGGATGATCAACGTTGCGCGCTCAACACGAAGCGCAATCCAAAATACCGAACAATTACGCC